TCGGCCGCGCGCCCGGCCTTATTTGGCTGGGACTCGCAGGCCGGGAGGCGGGGGCGTCCCCGGGAAAGCGGGGGGTCCGCCTTTGCTGCCCTCGGATTGCTGGGGTGGCAGGGGCTGGGGCCACGGAGCACAGGGAAGTGTCCAGACCCGCAGGGGGGGACAGTGCCTGGGACCCCCACCTCTCCCCGAGGGGCCCCGCTGCGCCCCGTGGGAGGGCTGGTCCGAGTCGCCGGGGAGCGGCGGGTGGCGGGGACCCGCCATCCTCCTGCGCGGGGCCCCACGCTTCCCCTGGCTTTCCAATGCCCAGTTAGTCACTGTGAATAGTAACGGACACCTGCTACCGGGGCGCCCGGGAGACCGGGGCACGGCAGCATCCGCGCCGGAGGACGGGGATCCGCGGGGCCCCCGCGAGCCCGACCGGGGCTCCGAGCCACGGGAGGCTTATGGGCGCCCTGTCTCCCCGGGGTTGAAATCGAAGGTCCACAGGACGAAACTGAGGACCAGTGAGGAGCTCCTGGGGGTGTTTGGGGGTGGGAGAGGGCGCGGGTTCAGACAGGGGCTGGCGGCGGGGGTGGCGGGAAGGGGGGGGGATCTGGAAACAGCCCGGTGTGTAGCAGTTGGACTTGGGGGGGGGGATGAGGTGGAGGTGATGGGGAAGACTCGGCCGAGTCCCAGGATTCTGGTGGGAGGAATCGAGAGGGAGCTGTCATCTTTCAGGTGGAGAGGGTGGAGCAGGTTTGGGATAGACCAACGTCCTCTTTGGGGTATGTTTTTCTTTCTTTTTTGAGACTGGGTCTCGCTTTGTAGCCGGGGCCTGCCTGGAGCTTGTGGTCCTCTGGCCTCAGGCTCAGGCCCTGGGCTGAACATAATAATACTAAAAAGGCTTAAGTGATTCCAAACTTACAATAAAGTTATAAGAACTGTAGGAAGAATAGCCCTCCTCTAGATTCTCCAGCTGTTAATACTTGCCTTTATTATGTTCTCTTCCTTACCCTTGTATGTGAGGGAGGAAACTGCATGTTCCACACCCTTGATCCTTAGGTACTTCAGGATCTCCTAAAAAGGAAATTCTATGTCCTTAGTAAGGCTCAAAATCAGGAAACTTAAATAGCAATTCGGCTATCCAATTTATGGCCCAAGTCCCCTTGTGCCGTTGTTTCGTACTGTCCCTTATAGAAAATTTCCTGTTCCAGGGTCTGGTCCAAAATCGTGTTGTCATGTTTTGTAGTCTGTCTGCTTTTCGGTCTGTCTCTGTAAGTATACACAGCCGGTCTTTGCCATTTGCGCCATGTTTTCAGTGCACACTCTTGTGGCATTGCCCGTTCACTCAGTTGCTCTGCACTGAGTGGATTCTGCATACTGAACAGGACCTCCCCATGTCCCCCTTTTCCCCAGACTCTGGCTGCCACCATTTAACTTTGTCTTTCTCTGAGTCTGATTTCTCTGGGATCCTCGTATAAGTGAACTCACACAGTATCCATCCTGTGACTGGCTTATTTTGTGTGGCAAATGTTCCCAGGGATTATCCACATTTAACATGAATTGAACCAGGGCCTCACAAGTGCCAGGCAAGTGCTACCAGTGGGCGCTGTCCCTCAGCTCTTCAGCTCAAGGCTAGCACTCTACCACTTGAACCACAGAGCCACTTATGGTTTTATGGTGGTTAATTGAAGATGAGAGTCTCATGGACTTTCCTGCCCAGGCTGGCTTTGAACCATGATCCTCCAATCTCAGTCTCCTGAGTTACTAGGATTATAGGCATGAGCCACCGGTGCCCAGCTTCAATCTGTGGTTTTATTTTCTTTCCTTTTTTTAAAAATTAGTTTTGGGGCTTTGAACTCAGGTCCTTGCACTTGCTCACAAGGCACTCTACCACTTGAGCCATGCTTCTAGCAGTGTTTTTCACTTTTTTGACTGTTCTTGGAAGCACAGGTGTTTTTCACTTGAAGTTTAGCTGAGTACTTTTTTTTTTTTGCATGTGATTAGTGCCATATCAATAAGATACATTCAAAAATTAGATGTTGATCAGTAGTAGGGACTTACTCTTGGCCTCTGAGTTCTGGGTCACTGGTATATAATACATATATATACCTTTTTGCCAGCACTTGTTGTTTTTATTATTTTTAAGAGTTGTACAGAGGAGTTGCCATTTAACAAAGCTGTTTATGAATACAAAATATCTTATTTATTTATGTATTGTTGGTCATGGGGCATGAACTCTGGGCCTGGGCTCTGTCCCTGAGCTCTTCAGCTCATGGCTAATTGTTCCACCACTTGAGCCATAGCACCAATTCTGGTTTTCTGGTTTATTGGACATAAAAAGAGTCTCATGGATTTTCCTGCCTGGGCTGGTTTGAACCATGATTCTCAGATCACAGCCTCCTGAGTAGCTAGGATTAAAGGCCACCAGCACCCAGCTTAATACAATATATCTTGATCAGTGTTACCCCTTTCAACATTCTTACCCATCCCTCCCCTTTGCACTCTCTCCCTCACTCTGTGTGTGTGTGTGTGTGTGTGTGCTGGTGCTTGAACTCAGGCCCTGGGGTGCTGTCCCTGTCGCACCACTTCCAGCTCTTTGTCTGTTTACTGGAAATGAGTCTCACAGGACTTTCATGCCTGGGCTGGCTTTGAATCACAATCCTCAGATCTCGGCCTCCTGAGTAGCTACGATTATAACGAAAGCCAGCAGGTTCCAGCTACATTGGATTCTGCATTTCTTCCTTCTCATGTATATATCCTTTCCCCTTGCCCTATGCCACCTCTTTGGAGTACCTGCTTCCTGGTCTTTTATTTTTGTATCGAGTGTTGAAATTGTGAAGTGTGTTGTCCAGCTTTTTCATCAAAATTGCTTTGGCTCTTCAGGGCACTGGGCATTCCTATATAAAATTCAGGCTCAGTTTCTGCAGAAACATTGGGGCCATGAGGTACCTTTCCATTTAATTGCATCTTTGTTGTAGTTTTCAGTGTTCATTCTGTTAAGTTTATTCTGAAGTGCTTTATTTTTGATGATCGTGTATGTGGAGCTTTCAGAATTTTCTTTGGTAGTTGAACTGTTTTTATTCATGCCACTTTTTTTTTTTTCTTTTTTGGTATGCTAGTACTGGGACTTGAATTCAGGGCCTCCAGTGCTCACTTGACTTTTCCAATCAAGGCTAAGCTTTGATTGAACTCTACTACTTGAGCCATACTTTCTCTTCCAGCTTCTTGGTGGCTAATTGGAGGTAAGAGTCTTTTGGACTTGGCTGCCTGAACTGGCTTCAAACAGTGATCTTGAGATCTCAGCCTCCTGAGTAGTTAGGGTTTTTTGTTTTTGGTTGTGGGGCTTAAACTTAGAGCCTGGGCAACCTGAGCTCTTTTTGCTCAAGGCTAGTGATCTACCACAGCACCACTTCCTATTTTCTGATGGCTAATTGAAGATAAAAGTCTCACAACCATTCCTACCTGCCCTGGCTGGCTTTGGCCCATAATCCTCAGATCTCGGCCTCCTGAGTTGCTAGTATACAGGTGCAAGGCATCGGTGCCCAGAATCGGTGCTCAGTTTTGGAGATTCTACTCTCTGCTAGACACTGAGTCATGATGAAAAACTCAATTCCTGCCTAAGAAGCCCACTGTCTCCTGAGCAGAGAGAGATATTGAAATCGAGAACATCATCACAGCAGTGGTAGAGACAGACTGTGGCTCGGGCATCAAGTGTAGAGCAGGGGTATTGACCTGGGTGAGGGTGCTGGGGTCCTTCCCTTAGGACTTGCCCTTTGACCTTAAAAGAGTGGAAGAACAGGCACTGAGTGGGAGGTGGTCACGGGGCAGCGTGTGACTAGGCATTATGGAAGAAGAAGGTGGTAATGCCATTGTGTCCAGACAGGAAATGCTCTGTTCTTAAGCTTGCACGACGTATCTTTTAGCTAAGAGTAGAGGCCCAAGACTCTTCGGGATCCCCTTCCCTATATTTCTGGTATGAAGAGAGTGGGACCCCCACCGCCAGCCATCCTGTGCCACAGCAGGAACACGCAGGTGCCAAACAGCTGAGGGGCCAACCTCAGCCCAGGCCATGCGGCAGGGCTCCAAGGGGAGCTGGGCCTCCCTCCTGCCCTCGGAAATACAGGGTTGGCCCAATGAAATGGAAAACCAGCTGGGCGTTGGCGGCTCATGCCTGTAAACCTCAGGAGGCTGAGATCGGAGGATCGCAGTTCAAAGCCAGCTGGGGCAGAAAAGTCCCCGTGGAACTCCTATCTCCAATGATCACCAGAAAACCAGAAGTCGTGCTATGGCTTGAAATGGTAGAGCAATAGCCTTGACCAAAAGAGCTCAGGGATAGTGCCCAGGCCCTGAGTTCAGACCCCTGAATGACAAGGAAAAAAAAAAACACACACAAAAAACAAATGGGAAACCACTTACCTTTGGTTCACTTAGGAGAGTGCTGGCAGCAGGAACCCAACAAGATGTCCCCAATGCTCTGGGGTCTTGCCCCTAGCCTGGTCTGGAGGTCAGGGGTGAGGGCACCACTCACAAGTGTGCTGTCACACCACCCCAAGCACAGGTTCTCCAGCTACAGTGGAGGGCTCCCAAGGGGTCCAGCTGCAGACAAGTCTGGGAAGGGGATCTATGTGTCTGTGCCTCAGGTCTTGGGTTACTGCTGGGCTGGACGAGGAGTGAAGACAGGGCATCTATGGGTCCAGAGTGGCCCAATAATCTTCTTTTTTTTTTTTTTTTTGGATGGGAGGGGGGGAGCTCTGCCCAGGCTGGTATTGAACTCACAATCTTGTCTCTCCCTATTAGCTAGGCTAACAAGGCTGTACAAACCTTCGGAACAGCATGTTCCTAGCACAGGGTTTGTGGGGGTGTGGGTGGAATGAGCTGGCCAGCACCTGAACAAGCTGGGCTAGAATACTCCTGCCCACACTCGCTCGGGTGGTGCCTGCGGCCTCATCTGTTACCTGGCATGGTCCTGAGCTCATCCATGCCAGGCGCGTGGTCTCCTGTGCCATGTGACTTCTGAGGGCAGCGTGGGAGGCCCTGGCCCCGGGACTGGGCCTCTAAGTGTACTGGGGCACCAACCGCTGGGGGGACACACAGAGTCTGGGCTTGGAAGTGGGGCGCCCGTCCAGCTTCTGCAGCAGTAGGTGAAACGCTTGTTTCTCACCGGAAGTGCTCCTGATGTGACAGTGAGCTTCCTTTCCAGCCTGGATCACAGACTAGAACCCCCAGAGCTAGCATTACCCGACGTACTGAAGTCACCTGACTCCCCCAAGTCCTGCCTTAACATGAGGTCACCACCCTCCTCACCCTCACCGGCCCCTCGCACTGCAATAACACCACGAGCCCGGAGTACACGTTACCGCATTTATTCTCACAACATGCCTGTGAGGTAGGGAGGGGCAGGGACTGTCCCCATTTTACAGAGGAGGAAGTTGAGGCACACAGAGGTCAAGTGACTTGCCCAAGGTCACAGACGGCCAAGCTGGAAGGGGGCCGCAGAGCAGGCCCTGGCTTCACCTGGGGGAAGCCCTGCAGCATGCGCCTGACAAGATGTCCCGATGCCCTGGAGCGGCGGCTCAGCACGAGCAGCGCCTGGAGTGCTGAGTGCTCTGCCGGGTGCAGCAGCCCCTGCCAGGCCCCCTCCCCACCCCGCCCTGCAGGCCCTGCCTTCAGCTCAGGGCTCAGGGGGGGTGGGGGTGGGGGTGGGGAGAGGAGGAAGAGGAGGACTGGGGAAAAATACGAAGGAACAGAAAACTCAGGCGGGGCCGAGGGACCCGAGGCAGGGGAGTGGGAACTGAAAGGGGGGAAAAAAAAGGGGGGGCTGCTTACACACGAGGGATATATTTTTACACACACTTGTACACACACCTAGATATAGTACATGTAAAAATATATGCTATTCACACCCTCGCCTCCTGCCAGGTGCCCCTAGAGCCGGTGGTGGCGGCGCTGCGGCATGGTGACAGACGGGCGTTAGTGAAATATACACTCTAGGGTCTATGTACATATGTACACATACGTACAGACACTGCGCCCGCCCGCCCGCCCGCCGGGCTGCACGCCAGTGTGCCCCTCCCCCAGGCCGCTGCCAGTCCTACATTTTCCTTTGCGGAAGGAAGGGGCTTGGAGAGAAGAAAAAGGCCTAGAGTCTGGAGTCCGCTCGCTTCCCCACGGACCAGAACTTTCCCCATCCGTTCAGAGAAGCATCAGGCCTGGCCCTGCCCCGGTGGCTGGAAGCCGCAGAAGGAGGCATCTGTGGGGTGCACTGGAGGCCGAGGGCGGAGGCTGTGTGTGAGCACTTGGTGGGGTCGGGGAGGGGAGGGGAGGATGCGTGTCCATCTGTCTGTCCTCTGGACTCTCAACCCCACAGGGCTGGGAACTAGAAAGCCGCTGGCCATGCTGGTGACCCCTGTGTGAGCTCTGAAGGGAAAAGGAAAAGGTGAGAACGCAAACTGCGGGGCGGGAGGGGGGGCGCTGGGGGAAAGGGGGGGCTCGGCAGGGGCCCCGAGGCTGCCCTTGGACGGTCGGCGTCTTGTAAACACGCGAGTGGAAGTTCTCCTCGGACAGAACAAGTAAAAAGACTGACTGCATGTGGAGCCGGGCCGGGAGCTGCCGAAGTGCGGCTGTCTGGTCCCCAGGGCCAGCCAGAGGGAGAGAAAGGTTTTCGTTTTGTGGTTTCGGTGGACGTTTTTTCGTTTTGTGGTTTCGGTGGACGTTTTTCTGTGTGTGAGAAGTCTCCAGAACCTATAGCTCGGAGGGACCCAAGAAAGCCAAATGGTGAGCCCTTGTATGCGTCAATTTGAAAAGTTGGCTCAGGGTCTCTAGAGAGAACCACCACACTAGAGGTTGAGAAAATTCCGTGCCGTTCGCATTCCGTTCTTGCGTGTGTTGTTTAATGATTTGAAGTCGCTTTGCTTCCTCCTGCCGGGTCTCAGAGCCTGGTCTGGGCCTCGGGGACGTAGATCTCGATGCTGTCCGCGCTCTCTGTGGCCGAGTTCTGCCGCACAGACGCCGCCCGCTTGGCCGCCAGGAGTCTCTTGCGGGCCTCCTGCCGCTGCTTGTCCCCCGCGTCCGAGGCCTTGTCGCGGCTCATGGCCGGCTTGGACTTGGCTGGCTTCTTTGGGACTGGAGGGGGTGGCTTCTTCTCTTCCTTTAGGAGATAGCGAAGAGGGTAGGGAAATAAAATAAAGGCGCCACGCTTCCTGTGGCACTACCCCCTGCTACAGGCTGGCAGCCGCGTCTCCCGCCCCGCCTCCCCACACCCGGCACAGGCAACACGAGTGGGAGGCAGGAGGCCACAGAAGCAATGACGGTGGGCGGAGCGCAGGCAGGGGGCAGAAAGCAAGCTCAGAAGCTACCTCAGCCTAACGGGAGGGGACAGACAGATCGCATCCCCACCCCTGCTCCCACCCAGGCCCGGGGGAGCCTGAGCCGCAGGCAGGAGCTAGGCAGTCACCCAGCCCGACAGGTAACTTACATTTAGGGCTCTGCCTCCCTGGTCACATTTCACATGCTGCCCTATCAGAGCCCGAAGGTGCCCCTGGCATAGAGCAGGAGTCCTGAGCCTCAGGGCTGGGCCACAAGGAGGCTGAGCTGGGTCCAAACCCCAGTACCCTGGCAGCATAGCCCTGGGAGGAGGGCCCATGTTGCTGCCTCTGCTGGTGCCCGTGGGCAGGTCTCCCGTGACCACCCCTCCCCCTTCTGGACATGCAGGGCGGGAGGGCATGCTTCCACGCAGCCTTCCACTACACAGCGAGTGGCATGCTGGACGCGTGCCAGGCATGGACCCCGCACAAAGATGGACGTGAGCCCCAGCTCAAAGACGACATATGGAGAAGGGAGCCAAGCAGCACTGACCGATGTGGGCAGCGTTATTGCCGACCAGGAATTTGTCCCTGGACTTCCCCTCCGCACTGCTCCATGCTCACCTTCCTCTTCTCCGGGGGCTCCACCAGCTGCCAGCTGTTGGCCTTGAGGTGGTAGAGTTCATCGAACTTCATGCTGATGTCCTCGATGGACAGCTGAAGCAGGTCCCAGAACCCTGCCAGGTCCTGGGCTGTTGGACGTGGGTTGGCGTCAGGGTTCTGTGGGGCACACGGAGATCAGTGGGGCCACCCAGGCACAAGCTAATCTCACCCCTGCCTTGTGCACGGTACCTAGTCCTGCTGGCACTAGATTGAGACTCTTTTTTGGGGGGCCGGAGGGGAGGGAGGTGCTGGTCCTGGAGCATGAACTCAGGGCCTGGGCACTGTCCTTGAGCCTCTCTGTGCTCAAGGCTAGCGCTGTACCTCTTGAGACACAGCGCCACTTCTAGCTTTTTCTGTGTATGTGGTACTGAGGAATCGAATTCAACGCTTCATGCATGCTAGGCAAGCACTGTACCACTAAGCCACATTCCCAGCCCTCCCATGAACTTTTGTGCCTGGGCTGGCTTTGAACTGCAATCCTCACATCTTAGACCTCCTGAATTGGTAGGATTACAGGTATGAAGCACTGGTGCCTAGCTGAATTGGGACCTTTGAGGCTCAGTCCTATTCTTTTTTTTTTTCCCCTGCCAACACAGGGACTTGAACTCGGGGCCCTTGTTCATAGCTGGCCCTCTACCACATGAGCCACACCTTCTTCACTTCAGAGTTTTTGTTGCCTAATTGGAGATGAGTCTTGTGGGTCTTTCTTTTCCCCCTTCTGCTTGGGCTGGCTCTATACCTTGATTCTCAGATCTCAGCCTCCTGAGTGGCGAGGATTATAGGTGTAAGCCACTGAGGCCTGGCTGAGGCCTGCTCTTTTGTTCCCAGGTCCAGGTCAGGATCTGTGTATTTGTGTGTGTGTGGGGGGGGGAGGGGAATAAAGCCAGTTCCTGGTCAATACCAGTATGGGTGGCAGGCCTCCTTGGAAATGTGCCCTCGTGAGAACAGGCCCTGCACACATGCGCAGAGGCCACTGCCAGAGCCACCAGCAGAGGGCTGGGGTAAAAAAACAACAACGAAACACAATACCCAAAGACCTCCAGTTTCCACATATGTCAGGCAGGCAAGCAAGGCTCGCATTTTACAGGGAGGAAGCATACTCTGGAGTGAGGCGGGCCGCGGTGCGGACCTTCTGTTCCCTGACAACAAAAGCTCCCTGAGCCTCCAGGCCCTGGAGGTGATCTTGCCACTGTCCTTGCTGCAGGAACTCACAGTCCTGGCTAGCAGAGAGATTCTTTCTGCGGGAAATACTGCCAGAGACTTGACTCTGCTTCTGGCCCTGGCAGAGGGAAAGAGAAGAAAGCCCACTAACCGAGTGGTGATGTTTTATTTAGTTCTTATCTTGAGTGTCCTCTAGGATACAGACTACTTAAATAAGGCAGGACAAGCCCAGAGCACAAGTGGAGCTCAAACCTATAATCCCAGCTACTCAGAAAGTAGAGATCAGAAAGGTTATGGCTCAAGATTAGCCCAGGGTAAAAAGGGAGACCTCATCTTAAACAATATGTAGGTCTTGTGGCGTGTCATCCATGTTACATGGGAAAAGAAGATAGGAGGAGTATGGTCCAAGCAGGCCAAGATCAATTAAAACACACACACACACACACACACACACACACACACACACACACACACACACACACACACACACACACCCTACCACCACCACCCCACACACACACACACACACACACACACACACACACACACACACACACACCCTACCACCACCACCCCACAAGAAGCTGGCCAAGATCAATTAAAACACACACACACACACACACACACAACCACCACCACCACCACCTAAACCCCACAAGACCATTTAAAAATAATGCAAAAAGGATTGGAGGTGTGTGGCTCAAGTGGCAGAGTGCCTGTCTACCAAGCACAAGACTGATTTGAAACCACAGTACCATAAAAACAGATAAAGGCTGACTTCACCTTTCATGGGGCTACTTTACACCGGCTTCAAGGCTCTATTTCGGGAGGGCCCGGGCAGCTCTCTCACGGGCTAGTACTGCCATATTCCAGTGCCTGGAGGAAGCAGCACCACCCCATCTATGGAGGAGGTCCTGTGGGCTGCAAGGGGCCAGCTGGCAGAGCCTGGCCAGCTGGAGCCCTATATGGAGGAAGAAGAGTCACACTTACCAAGTTCTGCTCACAGAGGCCCCGGAACTGCTGGAATTTCTGGGACATCAGGAGCTGGGCACTGCCCACAGCACTGAGGACCTTTCCTAAGACTGAGCAAGAGAGGTAGAAAAAGAACAGCTGAGCAGAGCACAGGGTTTGCTGGGGTGAAGGGTGGGCAGAATAACGTGTCATTATCATTTGGTGATGGGACCAGGTCTTCATTTTGTTTACACATTAAGCCATATATATTTTTTTTTTTGGTTGGTCGTGGGGCTTGAACTCTGGGCCTGGACTCTGTCCCTCACTCTATTAGCTCAAGACAAGCACTCTACCACTTGAGCCACAGAGCCAACTCTGGTTTTCTGGTGGTTAACTGGAGATAAGCGTCTGACAGACTTTCCTGCCCAGGCTGGCTTTGAACCTCGATCCCCAGATCTCAGCCTCCTGAGTAGCTAGGATACAGGTGTGAGCCACCGGTGCTCAGCCATTAATCCATTCTTATTGGGAAAAATTCAAACAATGCAGGTAAAAGTAGATGCCACCTCTAGTTCCTAATGACATTTTTATGGTGATTAGAAAACTGAGCTATAATGGAAAAAAATTTCAGAAGAACAAAAGTTGAAAAGAAGAAATAAAGACCAGATGGCCCCCATCTGTAATACCAGCACTTGGGAAGCTAAGGCAGGAAGATTTTGAATTTGAGACCAGTCTTGGGCTCCAGGTGAGATTCTGCTCAAAAAACAAAAAGTGAGACTTATCTCCAATAAACTACTTAGAAAAAGCTGGAACTGGAGCTGTAGCTCAAGTAGTAGAGTACTAGCCTTAAGCTAAAGAAGCTCAGAGACACAGCTCAGGCCCAGAGTTCAAGCCCCAGAACTGGCCAAAAACAAAAACAAAAAAAACTGGGCACAGTGACTCACACCTGTAATCCTAGTTACTCAGGAGGTTGAGCTCTGAGGATCACAGTTCAAAGTCAGACCATGCAGGAAAATCCATGAGACTCTTATCTCTAATTAACTACAAAAAAACAAAACAAAAACAAAAACAAAAACAAACTGGAAGTGGAATTGTGGTTCAAATGGTTTAGTGCTAACCTTGAACAAATAAGTTCAGGGACAGTAACCAGGCCCTGAATTCAAACCCCAGAACCAGCATTAAAAAGAAGAAGAAGAAAAAAAAAAAGAATACTAATATAGCTATACTAATGTTAGAATGGACTCAAGTACAAATCTAGATGTAAACACTGATAAGCGGTTCAATTTGCTTATAAATTTCCTAACTTATAAGCATCTAATAACAACATGGCACAGTCAATGAAACAGACTTTTCAGCCATAAGAAATAGGATAAATCTGGGGCTGGGAAGATGGCTCAGTGGTAGAGCACTTGCCTTGCATGTATGAGGCCCTGGGTTCAATTCCTCAGCACCACATAAGAAAAAAAAAAAAGCCGGAAGTTGCGCTGTGGCTCAAGTGGTAGAGTGCTAGCCTTGAGCTGAAGAGCTGAGGGACAGGGCCCAGGCCCAGAATTAAGGCCCATGACTGGACCCCCCCCCCAAAAAAAAAAAAAAGAAATAGGATAAATCTTAAAGAACCAGTCATACACAGAATGTTTTGCAGCAGTAACTTAAATAGGTTAGAAACCTAGTATGTATGTATGGATGGGGAAAGATGAGGGAGAAAGAGGCATTATATTCATAATGACTAGCTGAATTAAAACCTCTTTGTACAACTATTTAAAAAATAAAATTATGAAAATGTAATAAACCTCCGTGTGTGTGTTACAAACAAAAACACACTTGTCTAAATAAAATGATCAAAGAAATCACAGTGGAAATTACTTATAATTTATAGCTAATATGGCACTTAAAGAGAAAAGAATAAAACTGGGTGCCACTGGTTCACACTTGCAATCCTAGCTATTCAGGAAGCTGAGATCTAGAGAATCTTGGTTCAAGACCAGTCTAGGGAGTAAAGTCCATGAGACTCCATTGCCAATTAACTAGCAAAAAACGAGAGCTGGAGACATGGCTCAAGTGGTAGAGTACTAGCCAACCAAGTGACAAGCCTCTGAGTTCAAATCTCAAGTACTGCCTATCCCCTTCAACACCCCCCAAAAGAGGAAGGCATAAATCTTATTTCATTTAAATAAATTTATTTAAATAAATCTTATTTTATTTATTTTTTTGTCAGCCGTGGGGCTTGAACTCTGGGCCTGGGCGCTGTCCCTCAGCTCTTCAGCTCAAGGCTCTACCACTTGAGCCACAGCACCACTTGTGGTTTTTTTTCTGCTTATGTGGTGCTAAGGAATTGAACCCAGGGCCTCATGCATGCGAGTCAAGCAGTCTACCACTGAGCCACCTTCCCAGCCCTAAATCTTATTTTAAAAAGACAAGCTAACAAGACATTAAATCTGGAATTCAGATTTAATATCTGGAATTTAGAGTTACACCAAGGGAGACCCAGCACTGGAAACATCCAGGGAAGCACATTCAATGGAGCAAAGACTAAAGCAGTTTTCAGATGTATGTGAGGAGAGTTGGAGCTCAGGATCTGCCATGGATGAGGGCCTCGGTAATACTACAGTTCTCCCTGGGACTGCAGGAAGGATGCATCCTGGGACTAAGGGGAAATTACAAAAGAGATAAACTGTCCCTGGGTGCCACAGGCTCATACCTGTAATCTTAGCTACTCTGAATGCTGAGATCTGAGGATCATGGTTCAAAGCCAACCTGGTGAAGAAGTCTGTGAGACTCCTACCTCCAACTACCACAAAAAGCTGGAAGTGGAGGTGTGAGTCAAGTAGTAGAGTGCTAGCTTTGAGCAAAAAGAGCTCAAGGAAAATGCCCAGACCCTGAGTACCCAGTACCACCAGCCCTAGTACTAGCACACACACACAAAGATAATCTGTCACAAAATCCCAGCTCTCAATATGCTCAATCCCATTAACTGATCTGACTATTCTAATTTGCCTGCAAAAAACAAAAATTCATCCTTTCTTATACAGCAGAAAATCATCTCCAGCTTTAAATTATTTCTAGGCTTTTTTAAGGCAATACTGTTTTGAACTTAGGGTCCTCAACCACTTGAGTCATCTCTCTAGTGCCTTTTGCTGTTTTTTTGGAGACCAACTATAATGGACCTTTCTGTCTGTGCTGCTCTGAACCTTTTTTTTTGGGTTGGTCGTGGGGCTTGAACTCTGGGCTTGGCACTGTACCTACACTCTTCAGCTCAAGGCAAGCGCTCTACCGCTTGAGCCACAGCACCACTTCCGGTTTTCTAGTGGTTTATTGGAAATAAGAGCTCACAGACTTTCCTGCCCAGGCTGGCTTTGAACCGTGATCCTCAGATCTCAGCCCCCTGAGTAGCTAGGATTCCAGGTGTGAGCCACTGGCACCCGGCTTCTTTAGTTTTTATACACAGACTGACACTGAATAAAAACTACCAAGTACACTAGGTGAGAAAATCAAACAACTACATATCAAAACAAAAAACCTCCTGGAGATACAGATATGAATTACTTTAAAATAACTGTGAACATGTACAAGAGCCAGGCTCTGGTGCCTCACAACTGTAATTCTAGTTACTCAGGAGGCTGAGATCTGAGGTTCATGGTTCAAAGCCAGCCTGGGCAGGAAATCTCATAAAACTCTTATCTCGGGCTGAGAAGGTTTCTCAGTGGTAGAGCACTTGCCTTGCATGCCTGAGGCCCTGGGTTCGATTCCTCAGCACCACATAAGCAAAAAGAAAAAAGCCAGAAGTGGCGCTGTGGCTCAAGTGGTAGAGTGCTAGCCTTGAGCTGAAGAGCTGAGGGACAGCGCCCAGGCCCAGAGTTCACAGGCCCCACGACCGGGGGAAAAAAAAAAAGAATTTTCTTTCCTTCCTGAAGGGAAGTCTAGGCTGGCCTGAAACTTGTCACCTTAATTCTTCTACCTCTTGAGTGCTGGGATTATAGGTGTGTGCCATCACGCCTGGCACAGAAATTTGATATTGGTAACTGCATATTAGTGTCCTTTGTTTTCTTCATAATCTTTATATATATATATATATATATGTATATATATATACATATATATATGTGTGTATGTGTATATATATATATATATATATATATACACATACATATATACATATTGTCAGTCCTGGGGCATGAACTCAGGGCCTGGGCACTATCCCTGAGCTTCTTTTATTTAAAGCTAGCACTCTACCACAGCGCCACTTCTGGCTTTTTCTGTGTGGGGGGTACTGAGGAATCAAACCCAGGGCCTCATGCGTGCTAGGCAAGCCATCTACATCAAGCCACCTTCCCAGCCTCTTGGTAAGGTTTTTATTTTGTCTAGGAGCTGTCCATGGGAGCCACTTTCAACAAGTCCTGCCCAGTTGAGCTGCAGGTCAGCTTCTTAGTACCTCCACCATGTTTATCCTCATTTTATTTAGCTTTTTGGTCGGTCATGGGCTTGTACTCTGGGCCCAGGCTTGGCCCCGAGTTCTTCAGCTCAAGCTAGTGCTCTGCCACTTGAGCCACAGCGCCACTTCTGGTTTTCTGATGCTTCATTGGAGATAAAGAGTCTCAGGGACTTTCCTGCCTGGGCTGACTTTGAACTGAGATCCTCCAATCTCAGCCTCCTGAGTAGCTTGGATTATAGCATGAGCCACTAGGGCCTGGACTCATTTTAATTTTTTTTTTTCTGGTGGGTTGTGAGGCTTCTGAGCCTGGGCATTGTCCCTGAGCTCTTCAGCTCAGGGTGAGCACTCTACCACTTGAGTCACAGCACCACTTCTGGTTTTCTGGTGGTTTATTGGAGATAAGTGTCCCACAAACTTTTCTTCCCAGGGTGGCTTTGAACCATATGATTTTCAGATCTCAGTCTCCTGAGTAGCTAGGATTATAGGCGTGAGCCACCGGCACCCAGCTTTCATTTTTATCAAATTAAAATATGTTCTTTATTTTAGAATATGTTGGGAACACAAACATGATTAGAAAAATAAATTGAATTTGAGCAAAATTAAAAATGTGTGTAAAAGCTGGGTACTGGTGGTTCTCACCTGTAATGCTAGCTATTCAGGAGGCTAGAATCTGAGGATTGCAGTTCAAAGCTGGCCCAGGCAGGAAAAGTCCATGAGACTCATTTCCAATTAACCACCAGAAAATTGAAGTGGTGTGGTGACACAAAGTGGTAGATGACTAGCCTTGAGCAATAAAGCTCAGGGATAGCACTCAGGCCCTGAGTTCAAGCCCCATGACAGAAAAAAAAAAAGTGTGATAAAGGATACTACCATGAAAATAAGCAGAAAACCAGAGAATGGAGGAAAATATTTGCAAATCAAAGAGAAGGGTCTAGTTTCTACAGTATATAAAATACTCTTAAGCCGACAATGAAAGGACAAGTGATCCAATTTAAAAATGGTCCAATAAGCTGAGAGTAGTTCTGAGGGCTGAGCTTACAGCAGAGATGAGAGGATCACAAGTTTCCGTTCAGCCTTGGCTACATACCAAGACAGTGCCCCAGAAGGAATAAACCAACAAAGAACTTGCATATTTCTCTAAAGATTACACACACACACACACACACACAATCCAACACCACACAAAAGATACAAAATAGCTGGGTACTGGCAGCTCATGCCCTTTCTTCTAGCTACCTAGGAGGGTGAGATCTGAGGATCATGGTTTGAAGACAGCCTGGGCAGCAAAGTCTGTAAGACAGTTATCTTCAATTAAGCAAAAAAGCTGGAAGTGGAGCTGTGGTTCAAGTGGTAAAGCACTAACCTTGAGCAAAAAAAGCTCAGGGACAATGTTCCAGCCCTGAGATCAAACCCCCAGGTGCACAGATATTAAAATAAAGAAAAAAAAGTTTGGAAATAGTTGTGGAGGGTTGCATAACATCATGAATGCAACCAACACCATGGAACTGATCCAGAAAATGACTTCCGGCAGTGATGCAGAGCCCTGGTAATGCCTTCTTAGCCAAGTGTGCAGCCCTGGGTGTCTCCCCAGCAAGGCCCCTCCAAACAACAAAGCTAAAAAGGAAAATTTTATGTTATTTAGTTTTACTGGAAAAAAATGGAGAAAGAATGGAAAAAGTAAATATAGAAATATATGACCTAGAAAGCTCAACTCCTAGGTATATACTAAAAAAAGCAGTAAAAACATGTAGGCAAGCAAAATCTTGTCTATGAAAGATCACGGCAACATTCCTCACAGAGGCTTTTATTTTGTTATTAAAAAATTTTTGAGGGGCTGGGAAGGTGGCTCAGTGGTAGAGTGCTTGCCTTGCATGCATGAGGCCCTGGGTTCGATTCCTCAGCACCACATAAGCAGAAAAA